ATATCCGTACCAGAAGCTGAACATGGAAGCAAAAAAGACATACAATTCAACCAAAAACATTACAACTAACATACCCGTTAACCATGAAATATCCTTCAAAGAAAATAACTCCTACTGAATTTCTAAAGATAAATCGTAATAGCATGTTAGGTTAGCTTGCGTTGTATTGCTTTGCTAGATTAAAACATTTCACCACTTCAACAATTAATCTTTAAAAACACAAACCATTGGGTTGGCTAAGAATAATAGGTTATGCATTTAAGAGAAACGAGATTATATATTTGACATCCAGTAGTCCTAAAATTGCATGGCCCACATAAAGTTAAAGAAGTGAAATGAAAGGACAAAAGTAACAAACCTCGAGCTCATAAGCAGATATAATGGATAGAATTGAACAATAATGCTAGCCAGAGCAATAATGACCTACACAAATATTAATACGATAAGAAGTTCAATCGAAAATCATACATCAACTTTAAAATCTCCGTACCAGAAGCTGAACATGGAAGCAAAAAAGACATACAATTCAACCAAAAACATTACAGCTAACATACCCGTTAAACATGAAATATCCTTCAAAGAAAATAAATGCACCACACTGGGTATAGAATAAAAATTGGAATAATTAGAATACAATTAAGTCGAACAGCAATGCAGCCAGCAACAATCAAAACTGAAACCAGATATCAAATATTAGAGAGAGAATAGGAACACGTTTTAAACGGGATCAAACATTCATCAGTGTCAGCTGAAATGTTCTGGTTAATTTTTGTTTATGTTCATCAAGAAACCAAAAAGACTCACAAATATTATTGTCAAAAAAAATAAAAAATTACCTGGACAGGATAGACCTGACCTCCAGTAACATGCTGAATGGCGGAAAATATATAAAGAAACCCAGCTGGGTAAATGAGAGGCCCTGTATCTCCTTTCAATTTGTTGTAATCTCTTTCTCCTCCCAGAAACTCACTGACCTTTAAAAAATTAAGTTTCAAGTATAAAAAACTAATTGAATGCAAAATATAAAAATAACAAACTTCTAATATCACCTGTGACATATATGCATCCCAATCAGTTTTCGTGTTGAAATTACACAAATCGAAAAATTAGAATCACAAAAAAGGCAAAGTTAATTAAAAAAATGTGGACAAGTTTGAATTTACAGGGATTGTAGGTGATGAGGGCAACGAGGATAGCTTCCCAACTACATTTTCTCTCTTTTTTTCTCATTTTACATGAGACCAAAAATCTATTCTTCCATTTTGTAAGTTTTATTTCTGATGCTTGTGATTTAATTTTTATTTTAATCATTGCTTTACTGAATAAACATTGGGGATAACATCAATGGCAACACGGATATAGTCATATGGGTTATGCGAGTTAATAAAGTAAAACACTCGTGCTTCCACTCAAGCTCACATCGCAGCATACTTAACACTTGATTTCAAAATGAGGTACAAGAAGAGTGAGTATTCAAACCTGCATTCATTTTCGAGCTAAGTCGCCTCCGTACCTCAGCATTTGCGCTTTAGCTTGTGCTTCTAGTTGATACAGATTCCTCCCGTCTTTTGCCCATTTTCGTTGCTTCTCCTGCAGATACAAGCACACGTGATGGTTGACGATGAAAGCTCGTAATAATACTTAATTTTTCATTTCATCGGCCATACAGGAACTTCTTTGGTCGATAGAGGAAGTTCTTTTGCAGATTTCCACTCCTTCTTACAGTTTGGTTCAGTCGTGGAGACATGGATTTGTTGTTCCCTCTGAACGATTTGGGGTTTTTGTCGAGAAAGAGAAGAACGTCTTTGATCTTTGAGAGAGAGTGGGGGTGGGGAGCTGGGGCCGAATTAGCCAAACTTGCAGAAACTATAAACTCGGAGGGGGGGCGGGGGGCGAATTAGGGTTTGCTCACATGTTCGCATATTTTGTTTATAGAGAAAATTATACCTACACCTGCTTTTAGATTTCAATTTTCATAAATCATATCACAAATTTAGATTTTCAAAAATCATGTTTTTTGTATTTTATTAAATATTAATTATATATTTATCATCACAATTAAAAAAATATAATCAAACCTAAAAATCATTCCTCTCATCCCATCCATTTCTTCTCTCCTCTCCATCAGGTTCTCTTATCCCCGTATCCATGCCGTCGCCATGACCTTTCTTCCCGTCACTGTTCATTTCTCCCGCCACCACTGTGTCTTACATGACAAAACTCGAAGCGGTGTTCGAAGCAGCGACCATGCGCCTCCGTCTCTCTCTCTCTCTCTCTGGCGATTGAAGGGTTCACTTCTCTGGCGCCTCCGAGATCTTGCCGACCCATCGCATCCGTCGTTCGAACCATCGGCTTTTTTGGCCGGCAACTTCACAGAAGCCGTGACCCATGTCATGGAAGTCGTTAACCTTAAAACCGCCAACCATCTGTGTCGAACACAACCTAAGTTACAAGCTCATAGCAATAGCCATAACAAGGGCATTTGCTGTTAAGTCTACTAACATCGAAGAATGAACACTGTACTTTAGTGGATACGTTCAAGAAACGAAACTCTTCCAATGTGTGCGAAGATAAATTATCAACTTTCAAACCTCATGCTACTCTTCCACAGCCTTTGTTCATTGGTGCTAAAGATTGTATCAAGCAATTAAACACGTCAATGAAGTGTTGCATACTCGTAATTGAAACACTGAGCACCATACCAATTAAATGATTGTGTTTGTCATAATGCGATGTTAGAAAAAGTCAAACTATAGCCTCCACTCTAATGGAAAATAGTAAGGCAAAATTGAGGGAGGCCTCAGACGGGGAAGGGGAGAGATAGGCAAAAATTTGGATGAAAATAACTTTTTCAGCTATTCACTTGTTACTATCAATTGATATCAAAAACTGCTTCTGAAGTAACAAATGCAATCGAAGAAATTGAAGATGGATTTGATCGGATAGTGTAAAGAAATATAAAAACTCGCAATACTTTAAATGTTACCTTTGAATTTGATTGAGAATGGTTAATAAATGTTTTTGAATTGAATCGTGCTTGGTATAAATCATATTTTACACCATTTTTTACACTGTCACTTGTCATTACACCATTAAACAAATTAAAAATAAAACAACTTTTCCATCCAATCAATGGTGGACAACATTTTCGATGCAAAAAATAAGGATGTACAAATGACATAATTCTTTAGAATTAGAATTTCATATCTCCTTCCAAAAAATAGCTACGTAACTATGGTAGAATTCATATTCACTTTAGAATTTATTTCTCAATAAGGATGATTCAATTTAAAAATTGATTAAAATTTAAGTCAAAGTTAATAATTAATTACAATGAAATATTTTACGAGATTCACAAATTTTCGATAAGGATAGCAAAAAACTCATTCAATCAAATATCCACAGGTGGGATTAACCTCCTAATCGGGTAAATGAGATGGGGACGGGACGGGGTCATTGATTTGAATTGGGTACGGGTAGGGATGGGCATGGGTTGGGTTAGGTTGGGTCGGTTTTTGTCCCAACCCAAACCCAATATGATCAGTTTGATCACAATTTAACCTAACTCAATTAGTGTAAAGGTTGAAACCCAACCTAACCCAATCAAGTATCGGTCGGATTGGGTTTGGTTAGAACAACTTGTCAACAAAGACTAAAGTAGGCAGGTCGGATTGTGCGGATTTATAATTGACTCACGACTTATATAATATTAAGTCTCCATGGTTGCAATGAATAAAAAATCTAAATTATTTTGGCACTTTATGCCTGAAAATGTTATATGGACATATTGATATTAAATTATACAAAGCCGAGAAATATTTTTGGCAAAAATATTTTTGTGTTGAACGTGTATTTGTTTATACTATTTTTTCATAAAATGTATTCTATCCAAATTTTATAATATTATTCTAAGAGTTTTCAAACAACATCATAACACTTGTAAATTTTAGAAATATAGTCGGATTGAGTTGTGCGAATTTATTCGATTTTCATGAGTTAACATATAATCCGACCTAACCTAACTTGCCTAAACAACCGACCCACCCAACCCATGTAAAAACAACAAAAAAATCGACCCAAACCTGTCGGGTTTGGAAGGTTTTGACGGGTTTGATAAGGTTTTGCCTACTTATAGGTACGGGAAACATAGCCCTCGCTCTACTACCTGTCGTTTAAACTTAATTTCAAATTTAAACTTTTTATCAAACAAAAATAAAACATTTATCATCATTTTAAAAGAGAACATAAGTTGTTATTAACAAATTAGAAAAAAATTAATAATATTTTCTGACTAAAAATATTAAATAATAATAATAATAATAAATGGGACGTAAATGAGGCAGATGGCCTACCCCTACCCCATCCCGATTCAATAGGTTATGAGAACGGTGCATGATGAAAAAAATACCAGACGAGACAGGGATGAGAATTGTCGACTCATCTCATACCCGTTTCGTTACCATCCCTAGTATTTGATAACATATTTTATCAAATTTTATCAAAAAATGTATTAAAATCTGATTTTTATCTAACCCTCGTTTGGCCTCCATTTTTTGAAATTATAACTTTTCGAATAATTTTTTTTTAGAATGTGTGGCTGAAAAAGAAACAATTTTTTTTTATTTACATACGACCAATCTGTTAACAGCCGATCGCTCTACCACTTAGCTACTGAGGAACAACAGGAGATTAGATCTCATAGAGTTCAATTCCTCTTCTCAACCCATGACTAATATAAACTCGAAGCTTCATTCGTAACTTAATATTATTTTATGAAAAATTGTGTAGTAGAAAATAAGATAGAAAAATAAATTTTGGAACAATGGAGCCAAACAATAGCTAAATTTATAAAATTAAAATGGAAAAAAACTCAATCTTTTCAAATTTCTTTCTTCCACATTCTCTCTCCGGACTCCCTCCCTCGTCCCCCAAAAAATAATCTCTCCCCTTTCTATAAACCCTAATCTCGGCTAAGTTCATTCATTCAAGAATAACCAAAAATGGCATCGGTTTACCAGATGATCATCTCATTAATTTCCACATTATTAATATTATTATTCTTAACAACAAAATCCATTTATGCTGATTCTCAATCATCATCATCTTCCATTTATGACATTTTGGAATCCCATGGTCTACCAATGGGCTTGTTCCCAAAGGGCATTTCGGACATTTCATTCAACCCTGCCTCCGGTCGCTTGGAGCTCCATTTGTTGTCTCCTTCCCCTTGCGATGCGAAATTTGAGACCAGCGTTCGTAATGAGTACAGTATTATGGGCACTTTGGCTTATGGCCATATTTTAAATTTATCTGGGGTCGCTGCCCAGGAGCTTTTTCTCTGGTTGCCCATGAAAGGGATACATGTCGACATTCCGAGCTCCGGGTTTATTTATTTTGATGTTGGGATTGTGTTTAAGCAATTCTCATTATCGTACTTCGAGACTCCAAAAGATTGTGAGGTTACGGCAAAGGGAGATCAAAGAAATGATATTGTTACGTTTAATGATCATGTACAAATTGCTGAGGTTGGTGAATCTCGAATTTTGCATCTCTGTTTACTTTTCTCTCTCTCTCTCTCCGTAATTAGTTGATTTAGAACATGGAATATACATTGAAAGTTTGGGGTGGGCATGGGACCAAATGGTATGTTGATGATGCATACAAGGTGTTATGGAGTTTAGCATTAAGGAAAATTTGACGTGCCTCGTACATTTTCTCTTTCATGTGGCGTCGAAAAGTGAGACACATACTCACACGACTATTATTGGCTGCGTGTCTTTAGATGATTTGCATTTATTAGTTAATGTGAATTTAGTATGAGTAAAATTATTAGTTCATTCTGGCTCTTTTCACCTTTTGAAATCTTAATATTTTTGTTTATGTTCCTAGTTTTCCAGAATTGACTTGGAAATTGATGAATTGCAGAAAAATTAATTCCAAAATCTATCTGTGATACATTGCATAGATTAAAGGAATGTACTCGAGAAGCTTATCTATCAATTTTTAGATTTTCTCTAATTTAGTGTTATGCTCGGCTCCATAAATTTCTATAAGAAGAATTGCTCGCACATTCACATTGTTGATTACTAATGAACATTAAAGATAATAGAGAGAATCAATGAATAAGATAATTCTGGGTTAAACTACGCAACTCTTGGTTTGTGTACAGTCATAATGTAGTAGTTGTTTATCATCAACCGTCATGGATAGGGCGCATATGATGAGAGATAAGTTAATCTGTAGTGTATAAGTCTGTTATTACCTTTTATTGGCATCTATGGTGTTGTGTGTGCGTTGCATGTGCTAATACATTATGCTATATAATTTATGTTAACAACTTTAAAAGAATGGAGTTGCTAGAAGTCATTGGCGGAGTTTACTTTGGTCTCACACGGGAAATGGATTTGGAAGTTTCTTTATTCTAATATTGGTGAAAGAGAAGATGTAGTAGCAGAGGGGGTTTAAATTCATAAATGTCAAAGGCAATTGTTGAGGCTTTAAAGTTGTCTTCAAGTAGAGATAAGATTTGACTGAGTAAGAGTACTGTGAAATGGAATGGTAGGCTCTAGGCTGCATCTGGATTTTCAAACTTGTGTAACATTTTCGTGAACAAATGATAGGGTGTCTAGGCAATAAAACTGAGGAGTATGAAATTGGATTAGTCCATAATTCTTCTGGAAAGATATTGTGAAACTGTATCGAGGGTATAAAAGAATGAAGAGTGACGTGTTGCAAATATTGTACGAGGAATCTATCTTGTTATGTCCTTCAATATGACAATATCACAGGTTACAGATTCTGTTATGGAGGACAGTGAATACAAGTGTCAGAAGCTAGTATTCTCCCCCTGGGAGCCAGCTAAATATGCTACTCTCCTGGGATGATGAGGAAAACCATTCACTTGTGCTGCTGCTCTATGTACTTTGTGTGGTATTATTTTACGTGAGTTAATTGGTCTTGTTCTTGTATATGTGAATGCACGCACATACTCTGATTTCCTTGGGTAGAAGAACATAACTCAATTCAGCTTTTTAATCCGCTTTCTCTATTATTCATTTTTATGTTGTTGCAGAATCCATCCAGAAAGTTTGGGAGAAAACATTATGAGGGAAATGCATTGAGAGCTGTTTCATAAATATGGAGGCAAAGGAGTTCATACATTTTTAAGTCTACGTAGTGGATTCATCCTTGGACTTGAAGAGTGTTGAAGAGTCTGGTGGTCCGTTACGTGTGATTGCTTGCTTATATTATGGGCTTCTTTCTCAGAAGCTCCTGCTTATATGGAGCAAGGTTGCAATTTTTTGATGGAAAGGGAGAACATGCTAAAGAAAACTAGTTTATAATACTAGTGAATGGGGGATGGAGATTTTGATTTACATAGCCACGTGAAGATAATTGAGATATACGTTGTTATCTTACTTGTACGTATAGGTGTGATATCATCCTGAGTTTCTGTAAATTGAGAAAATTGATTGTATTTTGCATTAATCTTTATTTATGATTTCCATGTAAAAGCCAACATGGTAAAAGATTATTCAGTTTTACCAACCTTTTTCTGTTGGAGAGAGGTACTCCTTTATTCAGTATACACAAGAAAGTTACACATTTGTGCAAACTCGTGTTTATTCTAGTAAACTGCCAATTGCTTTTAGGAGAAGTCTTATATTTCTTGGTACATACTAATTTTGGCCGATGAGTTTTGTCCGATGGGGTCATACTCGTATGCTCTTGTTCTCATGAAGTTCTCAAGGATTTATGAAGGAAAATTTTCCATTGCATTCCAAAATTCCCTCCAACTTAATAATGGAATATTTCAGTATACATAGCATAAGAAATATTTCAACAATTCTAATACAGGTAGAGAAAGGAATTTATTGGAGGCTCATTCATTTGCATTTCTAACTATAATCTCACTCTAAGCAGAATATGCCGCCTGGGAGTAAAAAGCATGCCGCAACCCCCCATAGTTCCAAGCAGAATTGCGCTTTTAACCCTGCTCTATGGTTCAATCAAAAACAGAGGCTGTAGACAGGTGAAAGAAAAATCAGGACACAATTAAAGTGGAGAGAGAGAGTAAAATAGCATATCACTTATGCCATCAATCAATGATAATTAGACTAGAGAACTCACAGCGTCAACAATAACAGGCTTGCCATCTTTTACGAGGATCTCCACAATTGTTCCTGACTGATCAGCCTACGCGCACAGAAAAAAAGAGAGGGATGAAATCATTTAGACCATATAGTGTCATTTAGCTGATATATGGTATAAATTATGATGCTGGAATAACATGACCCTGCAAATGCAGCTATTCAGAGTATCAACTAGCGATTGATATGGGGTTTCAGTTTATGATTATATAACCATGTAACGATGCGAATGCAGAGAGATGCGAGTCCTCTAACCGTGAAAGAAGAAATAAGGCACTGAAATATTCTAAACTGGAGCAAAGCCAATGACAAGATGATTTCTTCTGAGCATGTGTTATAGACACGATTAAAGACTTCATAGGAAGGACATGAAAAAAAAATGATTATGCTCAACTTTGTCCTAATATATCTAATGCGAATATTCACACACTATAGGCGATCAGTTAACAAAGATGGATCACAAGCAACTAGCAACAAGAAAGATCAAAAAGCAAACTTGAGGAAGAAATAGCAAAGCAACAAGTAAAACTGTAAAGGTGTTATCTATCAGTAACTGCAGATTAAAAAAACTGCTTACTTTGATTTCATTCACAATTTCATGGCCTCGATGATGCACACAACCTGTCCTTTCTGCACTTTGTCTCGAACCTCCATGAATGCATCACGTTAGCCACACAGAGAGAGAGAGAGAGAGAGAGAGAGAGAGAGAGAGAGAGACTAATGTGCGCACACACACAAAGAGAGAAGCATATTGGTACTTTGATGCCACTTTTCAAGTATCCTCTAATCAGACACACTCGAATTACTCAAGTGATGATGTGAATCTTAATGTTAAGATTTGCAATAATCCAATGAATTAACACCTCACTTTAACAGAAAAGACTCCTGGGCAGAAGAATTTTAACACACACGAGATGGGTAATTAATGAATTGATTTAATTGAACTGTAATTGATTGAACAAAAAGAAAGATAACAAGGCCGGTTTCGAGAGCTGTCCCTCTCCTCACGATTCAGACTTTTTCCACCAGCTGAATCGTTTCTAGATTCTCATATTCTCTATTTATTTACTCATAACAAACATGACGTCAATTTACTAACAAACTCCTTTCTTTCTTTCTAATTCCCATTATACCCCTTCTTGTGGCGCCTTTGACCAGATGGGAGGCTTATCAGAATCTTCGAAGGGAAAGCACTAGTTCGGAAATTCTAACCAAAAAATTGAAACACAAATCTACCTTAAAGAATCCATTCCTACTCTCTCTCTCTCTTCCTTTTTTCCCTCATCAAATTTATATCAATTACCTTCACTAATGGTGGTTCACCAGGTGCCGGACTTCTGTAGAATGTGCCTGCCATGGGGCATTTAAGTGGGGGAAAAGATGAACTTGATTTCTTCACTTCAGGTGCAGAACGTGCTGGGGTTGGTGCAGGAGTGTATGCTGGAATTGGTGCTGGAGAAGGTGTAGGGAGTGACGGTCGTACAGCACACTGAGAGTGTGATTGCATCATTGTAGCAGGAGTAGGTGGTGGAGGCAACGCCTCCTTTTTACATATATAAAGTTCACAGTCAAGCTGTTTTGTTTGGAGTTCGACAATATCCTTAGAATCTACTAGCATGAAAGATAGAACAATATATAACCTCGTGTATTCAAGAAAAAATGGAAAAGGACTATAATCATAACACCAGCATGGATACTTTACAAGACTAGCAACTTGAGTAATAAACTCGGACATTGATTCTTCTGAGGCCAAAGCAGGAAGGTCTGTTGATGGATTGACATCTTTGGCTTCTGGTGATACTTCTGCTTTCACAGGAGTACCTGCTGCAGCATTTGAGTTTCCATCAACAGCCACCTTAAAGGCGACAGATGGCACCAAAAGATTTTCCACAATAGATTGAAAATTTTAAAAATCCTTAAAAGTAACTGTTAAAAGAACCTTACCTCATTTAATTTAGTTGTCACCAAATAGAAACACTTCCAACCAGACTGCAAACCCTATAAAATGGAAATTAATTCCCCATGTGAGAATTATACGGATGACCATGTAGAAATGTAAAATGGAATATGATTTGATTCCCAGAGAAATAAGATTTACGCGATAAGATTTACATTTCCAACGAAGAGAAATAAAGAATAATTTTACCATGCCATCCAAAGTTTGGATGTTGATACTTAAGTAAAATACCAAAAAGATATTAGTTTGAATTTCTAAAATTTTCAAAATATAACTTTCTGGCAAAGAGCTCTCCTCACATATAACATGAGGTGATGCGGCGAGGAAGTTAACTAGCCATGTCTTTGTGCACCTGTCGCAATGGTGAGGGGCATCAAAGGCTGTTGCCGCTCAAGCTCTAACTCAAGTATTCATCCTACTGCTATACTCTAATTCAGTTTTTCATTTTCACTTCATTCAAAAAAGAAAAAATGCAATAATATTTTTCCTCAAAAATATGAAAGTTTCGTGAAGATACCCCAAACCACATTTCAGCTTCATCTATTTAGTATTATATATATACAATTTAACTAATATTTTTCAATAAAAATTCAATCTCTTTTCTAGCTCTAACTCACAGACGGCGGAAAACGAATAATATAGAAAGTTAAGAAAGAAAGAAAGAGAAAAAAAAACTATTCTATGGACTAATAAAACACATTTTCTACAATTATGCAGGTCATGAACAGTGAGAAAATGGAGACCCGGTCTCATAAATCAAATCAAAAAATTGTGGATGAAATTAAATGTATTCTTTTGCCAATGTTTTATCCGTTTTACAAAACCACTATTGAATTCTAAACATTTGTATCTATGGAGCAAGCTTGGCGTTACATAAACTGTCTCTAGCTTGAAGGGGGTTGTTAGAAAAGACAAATTCATGGACCAAAATGCACAAAACAGGAAGATAAGGACTGAAGAAGGAAATAGCCAAGAAGAAGAGAAAAACATAATACCAACAATTAGCAACTTTACCTTACCAGAAAATGGAGGAAGAATAATACAGTACAACGGCTACAACGGATTCATACTCAGCAGCTTCACCCATCCTCGATTTCAGGGATTTGATTCCTAGTGCATACACCTCCATTGTACAATTTGTTGTTGAAATCGTTTTGCGTTACTGGTCTTATCTTTGTGTATATATAGGAGTAGAAATGCTCTCTGTATTTTTGAATTTTGTTGATTAATATGCAAAGTTATCTTCTTCAATTCTTCATTTATCTGTGATGTTTGGCACTTCCAAACTCTACTCACTCTCTTAGATGGTGTAAGACTGAAGGCCAGTGAAGGGTATTTAGTCAATGAATTCGGGGACCAAACTTCAGTATTTATAGCCAAAATTGTCAAAACTTCCATCAAGATTCGACAGTTGCGTTCCCACGTCTTACAGTTTATCATGGACAGTTCCAAACGAAGTGGATCATGGGGCAGTTCCATGTGAACGTGAATACCCGAGTGGACCACTTGAGGAAGAGAAACTAACAGCCTGACCCTCACTTGCAAAAACATGAATGGGGATTCTCGGTAATAGTCAAGCATCTCTTTTCTAGTGTTATTTTTTTATACATATTTTCTCTGAGTTGCGTAAACATGTTCTACTTTGACGCTGTTCGGTTTTTTATAAAAACCGAAATTAATCCATTGTTCCACGATCAAATATGCCTAACAGCGTTTCATCAATCCCAATCAAAACGGACAGTTTAATCTTGCTCCAAGAACTGTTCTTCTACCATAGCATGTTGCACGGAAACATTAAATGAACCCTTGTTTCCTCTCTCTCCCACACTGTTGGCGTTATATTCATATCAATCCCTCGTCTAGCCAGATTAAATTTAGTTGGGATAGCATTATGAATCACCAGCTAAATATACGAATTTTTGGCAGCATTTATAGCTTCCAGACTTCTTGCCACCTAACTGCTAAAGACTAAATTGTCATACTTTGACTCAATGGATGTACTCTTCTTCTCCCGCACGTGTCAGTAGCATTACCCCCTTCTAACTCAATACTTTCCATTTCTTAAAATGCCAAATGATTGGATCTTCATGGTTCCTTCTTCTCAATGGAATGGAACTAATGATATCACAATCAAAGAAGCTATTTAGGGCCTGTTTGGTACAGATTTTCATTTTCTACAGTAAATCAATTCTTATTTTCAACCACACATTCTTCAATAAAATAATATTTTCCATCACATCAATACTTTTTTCTTCTTTTTCAACCACACATTTCCCATCATATCACTATTCAAA